ATATGCAGCACGGTGGCGCAACTGGTAGAGCTGCTGCCTCTCAGCGAGCAGGTCCTTGGTTCAAACCTCGGTCCAGGGGCCTTTCTGGGTGGAGTTTGTATGTTCTCTCCGTGCATGTATGGGTTTTCTCCGGGTACTCCGGTTTCCTCCCACAGACCAAAAACATGCATGTTAGGCTGATTGGTAACTCTAAATTGTCCCTAGGTGTGAGTGAGAGAGTGAATGGTTGTTTGTCTCGTTTGTCTCTATGTGTCTCTGTGATGGACTTGCGACCCGTCCAGGGTGTCCCCCACCCCTCACACAGTGATTGCTGGACATGGGCACCAGCGACCCCCGTGACCCAAAATGGAATAAGCGGGTAAAGATAATGGATGGATATATATATATATATATATATATATTATATTATATTATTATTATATAAATTACAGTAGTCCCTCGCTACTTCACAGTATGCTTTTTGTGGACTTGATTTATCATGGTTTTTCAAAATAAGATTGAACATGACACACAATTGTCTGACTGATGGATGAGCCGCACAATTGGCATTGAATTTTTTATTTAAAATAAATTATTTTAATTTACTTAGCACGTGCTGCACCTCTGTGCAGCCCACACTCCAGAATAAGCTTCCTACTGCAGCTGATCAGCTGTTCTCCTGCAGAGCAGAGAAGTGGGCGTGGCTGAGACCATTTGCAGGTGGCTGAGTGCAGCCGTGGCTGAGAGGAGGCAGAGAGCAAAAATTATGACATTCTGTGCTCTTTCAGAACGTTTAGAGTTTAGAAACATTGTTTAGAACATTGCAAGACTATGGGAAGGGTTTAAAATACCTATACACACACACACACACATCTGCTCACACAGACTCATGTTTGTGCTGCTGTTTGGTATGTTTTTATGCTACTAGTACTTAGTGTATATTTAGTTGATGTTTTTCTTAGTTCATATCTTAGATCTTATTACTGTTTTTATCTACATTTTATTGTTGGATGTAACTGGGACCTTGTGTACATAATTTCGTTTCACCACACGTACCACATGGGGTAAAAATGACAAATAAAGAACCTTGAATCCTTGAAAAAAACAAAAAACAAACAAACAAAAAAAAAAAATATATATATATATATAGATAGATAGATAGATAGATAGATAGATAGATAGATAGATAGATA